ATATGGTTCGAGCAACTCGAATATGGTTCGAGCAACTCGAATATGGTTCGAGCAACTGGAATATGCTCGAGCAACTCGTATATGGTTCGAGCAACTCGAATATGGTTCGAGCAACTCGAATAAGGTTCGAGCAACTCGAATATGGTTCGAGCAACTCAAATAAGGTTCGAGCAAACTCGAATATGTTTGAACAACTCGAATATGTTCGAATAACTCGAATAAGGTTCGAGCAATTCGAATAAGGTTCAAGCAACTCGAATATGTTTGAACATCTCGAATATGTTCGAATAACTCGTAAATCAGTGATCTGCCAGTAATTCGAAAATTTTCGAGCTAAAAATGTCTCTTCAGGTACAATAATTTTTCCCAAATTCGCGCTCAGATTGCGCACAAGAAAGGACAATTTGGGGAAAAAAGATACGATTAATCGAGCCTTGCGTCTCGTTTTTTCTGATTACCGATTCTCAACAACTATAAAAAGGAGCTGCAAGGCTCGAATAATCGTACCTCCTTTTTCCAAATTGTCCATTTTTGTGCGCGAGTTACGGAGAAATCGGCTCGAAATTAACTCGAAATATTATATTAACATAACTCGAAATCTTATGCGCTCTCGAATACTCGATTTATTCGCGCGCATCTCCAATCATTCTACGAGCGGTTTCGCAGGAATGATAAGCTTGTTCGGGTGGGTTTTCAGAAAGCACGTATCATTTTCTCCGCTGGCGGAGATCTAAGAACTGTTTTGAGATCATGTGATTATTGCAGGGTGGTCCAGCTTTCCCGGTGAACCAGACACTGTCGAACATTTATGGCCGCAGGTCGGTCAGCCCTGACGTTCCGCACCATGCAGACGAGGCTCAGGTTTGTGAATCTGTCAGTAATCTCGCACGAGAAGTAATTGTCTGCTTGATTGATCTGTCTTCGTCAGAACGAGATGTTTCAGTGTGCGCTTGAAAATGCTTGAGAGTACTTGAACGGAGTTTTTCCCAGCGAAGCGGAACTGAATCAACTTCGACGGCATCGATAGAAAAATATTTAATCGGGTTCTCTCGATTTAATTAGGTGATCACGACGCTCGACTGAAAGTGAAGGAATCTGATAGGTTTCCGCAGACGTTTCTGATAGCAGAATCTCTATTTTACCGACAAGCTGCTCTCTCGTAACCTCTACACGTGATATACCGATGTGCTCTATACGCGATTTAATTTAAACCACGGATGAGATGTTAGATTAGATTAAAGTTAATGAATTTGAATTAATCTTAATTCTCGTTAGCGATATTCAATCTATGGATCAGTCGAAGTTCCATCTAAATTCGGATTTTCTAGCGACCAATTTAAATAATTAATTATTTGTGTATCGAGTTAACAGTTGGATCAACGTTGATCTAACAAAAGTAGATTAACTCTAGATCTACGGAGCACTAACAGCAGCTGTTTTATATTAGTTTATAAAAGTAACAATAAGGCGTGTATTTTTAACAAGTATTATCGTAACATTTGCAATGAGTAACGCATATATTGAATGAGTAATTGATAAATGTATCTTTACAATCTGAATAATCGTAAATGAATGAATTAGTGATCCGTCATTTTGACGGATTCCGTAAACCTAGCGTTAAGATATACAGGATGTCACGTAACTGGTGTTGCAACCGGATATCAGCTGATTCTACGTCAATAGATAAGTCGAAATAAAAGAATGAAATTTTTTCATTTGAAGCTCCGTATTCGAGAAAACTGAGTTGAAAGATGCGTCAAGTTCACGTGGCTTGTATTATCAGGAGAAGTAGAATTGGCGTGTCATGACCAGACGCGCTACTTAATTCTTGTTCAATGCTATTATTTCTTTAACCTACTTTTTCTCGAAAACGGAGCCTCGAATGGAAAAAATTTATTCCACATTTTCGACTTATTTTTTGACGTAGAATTGCCCTGTATATGAGAATAATTTTTGTTTAATTCGATTCAAATTGGAGTTTAGCTACTTGAAGAGTGTTTTAAGATTTTCAAAAGGTTCCTATGGTTCTCCAAGGATCACTCGAGATCTAGATGGTTTCATCTGCACTTTGCCCAAAAGGGAAAGAAAGGGGAAAGTTAAGTAAAAAAAAAAGGGAAAAATGGTGGAAAGGAATGGCTACGCTTTCAGGAACCATGAAGGATCTTGAGAGAAAAAGCTTGTAGGTCTCTAGGAACCTCCAGGGGTCTCTCAAGGTCGAGATCATCAGAATTCTCGTGATTTCGATAAAGTGAACAGGTGTCCGCAAAAATCTGATATTTTGCGAATCCCAATTCTCGAACTTGACACTACTATTTCTGAAAACATTGGGCTAAATAGGTTTATCGAACAAAATTTGTGAAAATTTTAATGATTAAAAATTGATTATCAAGATGATATGCTTAAAATATAAGTCCTTCTCTCCAGTGATCTTCCCGAAAATGAAGTTACGTTTGAACAAATTTTATCGTATATTATTGATTCGTTGTTCTTGTGGATGCAACCCTTTCGTATCTCCAGGACAAAACTAACCCTCAGCGAATAGTTCTCCAGCTTAGTATCATCAATGATAAGAGGACGCTGTAATCAGTCTCGAATTCCTGGGTCGGTAAGGCAGTCGACTTCGAGCTATGTAAGTCTAAAACGAGTTCGACCTATTCTTATAATGTAATGAAGGTATAAAAATAGTCTAAATGTATTTTTTACTTTTCCAATTTGTGGGAATTTGTGGGAACCTCATTGTCATTTTGAAATGCCGCACAATGTTACCGGTAGTGCATCTGTTCGTAAGAACAGAGTATTCTGTATACTACATTTCAACTATGAGTTAACCCTTTATGGACGGAATTTTTTCCTAAATATAAAAAGAAATATAATTTGAATCGTATAAAAAATTTCAAAAACGTGTCCACAAATCGATATGTTCCGATCGAAAGCTCTGAGATAGGTGATTAGATCTTGATAACTGGCTACGAGTCGATTTAAAAATATATACCCACTGTAATTATTAAACTTTAAACGGCTTAAGTTGAAGCTGAAGCCGTAAACTTCGCGGCAGGGCCATTTTTGTTCAAATGGAAATCCGAAAACATATCGGAAATTCGATAAATCTGTAAGCGAAAGCTCCAACGAAGGTGACTGAATTTTGAAGAGTTACTTCAAACCGACTTGAAAATGTAAATCCACGGGAATTTTTAAACTTTAAACGGCTTAAGTTATAGCTGAGGGATTACACTTCGCGACAGGACCATTTTACGGGAAACCTGCCGGAAAATTGGAAAAGCTCGGAGAAACATGATCGGATTTCGACAAGTCGCTGCAAATCGATAGAAAAATGTATTTTCGCAGAAGATTTTTAACTTAAGCGGGCTCAAACTAATTCTGAAGAGCCACACTTTATTAAGAAATTTATATAAATCTCTACAAACTAATAAATCAAGTTTTTATATCTAATTTAACATTTTTGTTACATGTTGCAATTACTGACTCAAAGTAATTTTTACATTGTTACTGATACATAAACGAAGATTTGACGAAATATCAAATTTGCATATTTCTATTTTCCATTAGTTTGAGTTTAAACTATAATAGACTTATTAATAGACTTAAACTTTTTCTGAGTTTATATTCTAACACAATATAAACTCGAAATAATTTTCGCATTGTTACTGATATTCAAACAAACACCAAAAAAAGAAACTATATTTATATATCTCCATTTTCCATTATGTGTAATATAGAAATATTCAAATCTGGTGTTTTGTTAAGTACTTGTTTAAATATCGCTAAAAAAACATAAAAACTGTTTCGTCTTGTCGGTAAATTATCAGCTTCCGATTCTTTCTTATCGACAGACGGAGCCGCGACAATCGATTCCTACCGCGAAACCTCTCGAGCTCTGTGACATTAACAAATGATTGTTAATAGAAGCAGCCCCCCCCCCCCTCACCGGTAAACATTCTGAATTATTTACACTGAACGTTGCGCCAAAAGCGAGCCAGGCCCCGACGACAAAAGCAGAGATTAATCTATTTTGCATCCAGGGTAAACTATAATTTTCCGGAAGTCTGACTGGCTTTCTTCCCTTTTCGCTTTCCCATTTCCGCGACGAGCAGACCGGAAAAAAGGAAAGGTGCTTTATCTTGGACCTATATACAACTCACCGTCGCTGTTATCTTTCAACTTCTTTCTTTGCCGAATCCTGCTGCGCCTCGGAAACAGGAATGAAATGTATTGTGCGACGATCTCGACCGGTTCAGCACGAGAAAATCGATATCCCCGTTTTCTTCGTCCTCCCTCCGTCTTTCCCGCGCGGCCGTGGCCACAAAGAGGAGCGGTTACATTATCGTGAAACAACGGAACCCGACCGACGACGATTTGCCACGGTTTTAACTTGCTTTTGCAAGTGGATCCGTTCTGGCCCAGGGGCTGAAAATCCACGTCCAAATTTATCCGGAATTTCGCCCATTAATGCCGATATGCTCCGCAAATTCGGCAATTTCATGCAGAACGGCGAGAGAAGGTCGCCTGTGGTCAGCCAATTTCGAAATTGTACTAGTAATCATCGTATTGGCATAATCAATGCCGTTTCGCGGCTTTTGTATAAGTGCTGCAACTATTGACGCGCCGGTTATAATATTATTTCATTCGATTTCACCGACAGTGACGTCACCGCTTTCGTTTGGTTATTTTAATAAAACCACAGGGCGAAGCACGACCGTAATTCCATGACGCTGAAATTCGACATTAAAATGCTAAGTACCTTTATTATATTATATGTTTATTCTCGTTTCGAAAGCGGATTCACGTTATCATAAAATTTCAACTGCGATAAAAGATCGGAAATTTTCATTGTTCTCTATCTTGATCGGCTGAATCGTTATAATTAAATAATAAACGACTTTCTTTAGAAAAGTGGTAAATATCAATGTTTTATTCGTTTCTTCTAAATCGAAAGAACATTTGATTCTTCTGCTAGTGCACGCAGGAAGCAAAAATTGTTTCGTTCTGACAGAACAATGATTAAGAACGAAGAAATGCTAATCAACCTAATGCACACTTAAACCATTGTACTATAACAACGAGACAGAATTGTAACGAAGATTTCATTCATAGTCTATTAATTTCGAATTCGTTGTTCATTCTTCTCTTAAATCGAAACAAAAATGTTCGTTTTCTCTGTTAATGCATACTAGAAATAAAAATTGTCTCGATCAGAGAAATGATTAAGGACGAAACTAATTGACATAGCTATAAAAAAGATCACAGTATAGAGGGTTTAGCCCCGCACGACGAATATTGGCATATTTACATCGTCAGAACTATCTATCTTATTCCAGAATTATATATTATATTCTATATATTATATTCTATATATTATATTCTATAATTATATAATATTCCAATGTAATTTTTTTGAGGAAAATATTCTTTATAAAAAGATCAGGGTATATTATTCATTTGCTCAATTATTTGAATCATTGTTCCATTATTGTTCCCATTATTTGTTCCTCAGACACAATGTCTAAGGAAAACATTCTCAGTTCTTTAAAAAAGGATCATTTTTCTCATTATTTAAGTCCATAGTGAACAATGTAATTTTTTTTAGGAAAATATTCTTTATAAAGAATATTAGGGTATATTATTCATTTGCTCCATTATTTGAATCATTGTTCCATTATTGTTCCCATTATCTGTTCCTTAGACACAATGTCTCAGGAAAACATTCTCAGTTCTTTAAAAAAAGGATCATTTGTCTCATTATTTAAGTCTACGATACACAATGTAATTCTCTAAGAAAAACATTCTTAACACTTCAAATAATCGTCGTTCGAAAAAACACGCGTTCGTTAACACCGCACCAA